TACAGTTTATGGCCAAAAATATCATTATCAGAACAGTTGATTTTTATTTTTTATTTAAATGTGTAGCGTGCTCTGAGTGGAAGTTAGTATTCAAATATAGTGAACATTCCCATCTTTCCATGTATAATTATAATATTGGTTTAAACTTTTGTACAATTATGTTGATTTCCATCCTACATAGACAGAACTTTGACATTGATGCTGCTTCATGCTAACTCATGGACATTTTTTCTTCATCAAAATAACATTGAAGCAGTAGTTTATTGTCCATTTAGAAGTATTTATTTGTATTAAATTCTAATTTCAGAAGCTAAGCTAATTAACTATTATAAAACTGCTATTTTTCTTTTCCATTCAGTATATTAATTTAGGGGATTTGTCTTGGCTTAATCTGTTGTAAACCTTTGAGATTCTCTTTCAGCATGGACGACTGAAGGTAAAAACAACAGCAGAGCAACAAGCAGAAAAAGAGAAAGAAAGACAAAAGAAACTTCAACTTTTTAAGGCTGGCACCCAGAAAATATTTGAGAAGGTAATTTAGTTATTTACTTATCATAACTCAAGTGGAATAAAAAAATGTTTCTCAACTCTTTTTTTTTTCAAGGTTGTGTATTATTTTAAAAAAAATTAAAGCTCAGTATATGCTGAAAAATCTGGAAACCTGTTAATTAATAATTTTTCTCAGGAAACAATTCTGAAATATAAAGTTACTGTAATTTATTTTGGCAACTGAAAAAGCTGAGTTTGCACAGTTTTGTTTCCCACATGCATACGAATAGATACAAGTATAATTTTGTGGAGTACTTGCAGACATGGGAGAGGTTCTACATAGGTTGTAGAAGTTTCAGAATACAAACAAATCAGTTAGGAGGTAAATATCCATTTTGTCAAGATAATGTAAAGGTACTAAATTTTTGATTCTTGATTTTGTTCGTACATTAACTGTTTAAGTTGCATACTATTCATATTATTACTTCTTGTGAGAACAATATTTTTAACTTTATATTTGTGTAAGTATTTTAAAGACTACAGAAATTTCATTTATTACAATCTGCAGAAATGCTCTTGACTAACTATTCACATAGTCCTTTCATGAAGGATTAGCTTCTGTGGAGAAACTTAATAATTCCAATAAACAATCTTTAAAAAACTAACATGTTTTGTTAATTTTGCTGATAGTGCCTCAGAGCCATGTGCCAATTAATGTAAAAATTACATCTTGTACAACTTGTACACTAGTCTGTAAGTCGTATACGGTGTGTGACAGTCCAATATTCCATATATATACTATTTATTCAAGAGCATAACTAAATTATAGAAAAAAATATTTGAATATAATTTTATTTAAAAATTTGAATAATGAAAGAAAATCAAGAGATCAAACTAATTGCAAAGCAGATGAGAACTCATTTCTGAGATACAAGAATGAGTCTCAGGTGAAATTGATGTTGTTCATATTGTATTTTTGAAAATATGTGTGTGTGTAATGTATTTTGTTCTCAAATTTTAAAGTTGACCATGTATCAGGCACTAGCATTATGGAACATGTCAAGTTTCTTACACTATTTCTTTGTCTATATAATTTTGGCCAGTAAACAAATTCTCTGAAGCCCATCTTTACATGTAAATTAGAACATATTATGATGTACAATTTGAATAAGACCAACTGTTTTATTTTTTATTAAAGGAAGTATTTTAGTAACAATATTAAATATTTCTGTTTTGGTTTGATCAACAGAGAAAAATAAAAGAATATGATGATGAAGGGCTATCAATTTCTGGACAGATTTTACAAGCAAATCCAGATTTCTATACATGTTGGAACATACGAAGAGAAATTTTAACCCAGTTAAAAGATGAAAGGTAAGTTATTTATGTTAACATTGTAACTGTTAACTTTTTTAACCCAGGCTTGGCCCTTGGGACCGAACTTGTCACCATTTTGTGCTTGTTATAGTTTTCATGCTATTAACTTTGAAATTAGTAAGCTGTTGTTAGCGAAATTTGGCAGTTTATCAATAAATATTACAATGCTTTCATACGCAAAATATCTAATTTTTTTATTAAGTCTTAAGATTTTTAAAGCAATGTTTCTCTCATGCCTTGGAGGATGTGAAACAAAACTATTTGTTTTAGGTTTTATATATACATTTTGAAATAACAAAAAGTTATAAGTTACTATATCAATACCATAGAATTTTACTGTAATTTATCAAGCTTAGTAACTAAGCTGTATTTAGGTCTAAAAAATATTAAATTTCAAGCTCACTAAAGTCTTACCTTTTCCGCTTGGGATCTAACATGAAAAGAAAGAATTTGCCACCCAAATACTTCAAAGAGGCTAAGAAAGCCACTAGGAGGACATTCTGAGCTTTTGATTGGTTATTCATATAGAAGTAGGTGTACATAGCATTTCCACAAATGGAGGACCACTGTGTAAAATTCAGTAAATGAACCAAAATATTTGTAGCTGCAGGTGTACATTCTTTATTTCTGATCTGCAATCTTATTTCAACATTTCTTAACCCTATCAATACGGGTCATACGTCAAAGGCCATGTCATTGTGTTGTTGACTCGCATTTAAAATTTTATTGAACTACTATTTTATGAATTATGTCAATAAGTTTGGTAACAAACTGCAGATTATAATTCAAATTTTAGGATTATATATTAGTAAATTTCTTAATTTAAGAGTAAATACTAAAAAAGAAATCCTAAATATTGATTTTAGTGTGTCACGTGTTGTGTTGAATGCAGAATTGGTTTAAATTAGATGTTTGTGATATTCAAATACAAAGTCTATAGTTATTACGATTTAGGAACTCAAATTACTGACAATGACAATCTATAACCTAAAATAAGAACCTCCTATACTACGATTTAGGAACTCAAATTACTGACAATGACAAGCTATAACCTAAAATAAGAACCTCCTATATTATGATTCAGGAACACAAATTACTGACAATGACAAACTATAACCTAAAATAAGAACCTCCTATATTTTCTATTTTCTGAGATATCCCGACGAATCACACTCAAAAACAGGGAAAGACAAAGAGAAACATGAAGTCATGCACATATACATGTGTTGAATTTATGAACTTGAAAAAATAAAAGTTGTACATATACATTATCCAATACATTAAAATTATCAAGTTGTGCAAAGTATGTTGTTATTACTTATTTTATCCTTGGACAGGTTGTTTTGGATTATTTGGTTAAAAAAAAATCCACTCAATGTAACAGTAACTAATATGCTTACTACAATCATGTTTCTTTGTAGGCGTAATTTCACAAACTTTTCAACATGAACTCCAAAATTACTGTAGGCCTGAAACACTAATAACATTTAACAAATTTCATCAATTGATAACAAACCTAATTTACTGATTAGCCAACAGAAGCACTAATTCTTAAAAACTCAATCAATCTTTCTTCAATCAACAACTACAGCAATTTGTTACCACCTTTTTATAATGTTATAGAATGTGGTCATAACAATTACTAATGAAGTGCAACCTTGAAAGTAGCTGTAGGTAATAGTTAAATATGATTGGATAGTATAGATTACATTCTATTTACATCAGTGTAACAAAAATATAAAAAATTAGAAACTTATTAAGTTAGGTGAGATGATAAAATATAATAATGATAATTCTTCATGAGGTATCCTTGCAAGTAGTTTGTGCATTACATGATTTAATACAGTAACTTGAGCTGTGAATTTGTCAAGTGATTTACAACTTGTGTAGCAGGATTATTAGTTAGATATGGGTCAAAGGCAAAAAAACAAATTTAAATATAAATAGATGTATACTGTTATGAGTTTTAAGCTATTCAAAATAAACAGTTGTAGTTTCCTGTTACAATTTGCAATCATTCTAGAATGAAAAAAAAGAGTAATTTAGATATATCATTTTTTATGGTGATTATGAGGTTGACCAAATAGACCCAATGTGTATAGAGTTAGGGTAAAGAAACTAACAGATAATATATAAAGTTTTACTGAAAAAGAATGTTTAACATTTATTTAGAAGGTTTTAGAGATTATGCAAATAAAATTTGACAATTTTAGGTGAAGAAAAGTATTTTTAATCTTAACAGAGCCTGGTTCCAGTAGGAAGGAATGGGGTTGAGACTGTTCAGGTCCTATACAGTTGAGCAGACTTGGGGTAGGCAACAATAACATCACATTTGGCTATTTGCCTGTGCCAATGGTTTCACTGTCTTTCCTTAAGGACTTTTTTCAACCTACATATTGTGTAACATTTGTGGTGTAAATTACGTGGTTTCATCACAAGGATGTTACCTTGTGCTTCCCCTATTATGCTTACAGTCTGCATTTTCATGCTTCAAACTGTATTTTTTTAATTTAACAACTTTAAGGAAAAATTTAGTAAAACTGTTTTTTGAAAATATTTCAATCAGCATGACTGAACATATCACTATCATAACCAGATAAAACACTGGTTACACCATGTGTACGTATTTGTTATGATATCTAAGCCATTATCTCTGAATTTAATCTACTAATGACAATTTCACATACTCATTAATATTTCAACTTGATCATGTTAAAATATTTTGTACACTATGCTTTTGAGAAACCCAAGGTAAGACTGTTTTCTCCTTCTCTCTCTCTTGCCATAGTGTGAGTCTCCTTATTACTATTGCCTCTTACATTAAAAAATTGCCACCTGCAGAAAATCTTAGTGTCAAAGTTGAAACAATCCCTTAGTATTAATGAAAATAACAGGTACACTGTATTTTTCAATGATACTTTGCCAAATTATTCATCACAGTTAACTTCACATTCATCAAAGGAGTGCTCACACTAGGTCAGGTTTCTTCATTTGCCTGTCCTGGAGCTTCTGAAATGTTAATTTGATATCCATCCACCAGTGGAGTCTTCCACCACATGGTTTTTGTTTGCTATGGATGAAACAGCCTGGTGTCTAGAGTTAGGACATTCCATGAATGGACATGGTCTCACTGTACAGTGAGATGGTTCATCCATATATCTGTGTCATGGACCATACAATGAACTGTGACAAAGTCATTCTTGGAATGTCACGAAACCAAGGAAGCAGTGAACTTTTTGATTCATGATGGGTCGAGGGATATCACTGACTGCAGCTTTCTTAGCTGAATCTGTTGAGACTTCATCTCTCTTTACAACTTGACTGAGAAACTCCACTTTCATTTGCATCAATGAACAATTTCCTGACTTCAGTTTCAAGCCTGCCATTTGTAGGCACTTGAATACCATCTTCAGGCTTCAAGGCACAGACTGGAAAGTGCAGCCAAACAACAGAACATTGTCAATATATACCAGGCATTTCTCCCATAGCAGTCCCTTGAGTGTAATCTAGATAAACAACTCGAATGTAGCTAGTGTATTACAGAGACCAAATGGCAAGATGTGGAATTCATATAAACCATCTATCTTGCTAAATGCATTCTTAGCTCTGCTTTCATTGTCCACTTTAATTTGCTGTTTCTGGATGCCAGATCAAGGTTGTTGAACTAATGAGACTTCTAACACATCCAGACCTTCATCTGCTTACAGTAAAAGAAAAGCATCAACATGTTTATTACTTGTTTGCCATTTTAAAATTAATGCAGAAGCTTTGTATTAAAACTGAGCAATTAGTTATATTTCCCAATCAGTCAATTGATGGGCTCAATTGATTACATTCGATTAATTGATTAGTAAACCATGTCCCCTACATCCCATAAAAGCAAAATAAAATATGGTTTTGTGCTTGCCCTCTTAACTTTTTCAACTACTGAATTATTTCTAACATGGTATTAATTTTCATATTTTCTTTTACATTTTTTAAAGTGACTTTCAAATTACCTTTCATTTCATATGATAGACCTCTTCTGAATGTTGCCATTTGTGCATGTGCGAAAAAAACATATTGTTTGTCAAAAAAAATATCCTATAAGCTTTATGGACATTTTCCACTTGGTGGATGAATCACTAATGTCGACACCACCATGCAGTTGGTATTGTTTGTTTTCAAATATGCATTAATCCCACACTGATCTTCTGGAAATCAAATAAATTTATAATTGAATAATGAAAACATGTTTACTCTCATGATAAGGGTAATGATGTTTTAGTTAAAACAACATGATTTACAATTACAAATAACTAAGTAGTCAATTAAACAATTTATTTATGCACATTGTTTGAATAGGATTAACATAAAAATGGTATGCATTATAGATTTGAGTCATCATAATATTTTGCAATCACCTACCATACTCACTAAACAGTAAACTTGTCTGATTTGATGATTGTTTTAGTTCGTGAACATGATAAAAAAATGTCAAGTTTACAAACAATGCAACTCTGATCAATAAAACCATAGTACTAGTAAAAGTAAAAATACACAATTTAAAAAAACTAAACATCAGCAAGATACCTTTATTAAGCTTTAAGCAATTTCTGGTCATGGGATTTCTTTTTTTCATACTGTATATATATTCCCTTGTCTGGGTAAACTACTTAAACTTGATGATAACAAAACCTTCTTCAAACATTATATGTTTGTCACTGTGTTAAACTTTCAATAGAATCTTCTTTGTTACACATTCAACCTATTTCTAAACTGTTTAATTTTACCTACCTTATCTCAAGTTATCTGATGTTTTCTCATTGAAGATTACCTCTATAGCTTTCAAACAGATATAATTTAACATACAGATACTTTCATAATTCACAATGAAAGGAACACGTACAGAAACTACATAAAAAAAACTCTTAAATGTATTTACTTTATTAGTATTTGATAGTCTAATTCTTGCTTTATAGCTGTTTTCATAGCTGTGTTTTATTAGTAAATGTTTATACCATTTGATGTGGCACCATACCATGGTTTCTACCAATGCCTATACAAAATCTAAAGGAAATACTTGAAGATCAAGAAATGGATAATATATTTTCAAGTGGTGGTAAATGTTTAGTAAAAATAGTTATTCTTTGGGATGGGCAGAAAAATTCTAAAAAGAATCAACAAGTAGGTTGTTTTGTTTACAAGCACCACTTTTTGCAGCTGCACAGAAGTGAAAATATTAACTTTTTTTAAATAAATGTCAGAATATGACGAAATATCAATTCTAAAATAATTTTGAGTTCAAATTGTTTATATATATAAAAATTAACATATAAAAGTGCCTTAAAAATTTGTGGCAAAACTATGTGAAAAGCTAAAGTCCTACTTTCAAGTACAATAATTTTAGAGTAAGTTACTTTGTTCATTCTAAACTGTTATACATGAAAATAATATGTTTAATAGTGTTTCACAAGTTTCTATCTTCCAATTTCCAAAAGACTACTGTACTAAAACTACTGAATTTTTGGTGATGATAACAAACATATTACTCTGTGACATTTTAAAACAACAAATTGTATATCGAAATGGTGTATTTAAGTGTTTTACACTCACAAAAAAGAAATCTATCATTCTATAGGTATTTGAAGAACTTGTAGCATTCCACCACAATTTAATTCTTCGTATTGTTAGTCGACACTAGGCAGCTGGTACATAATAGCATTATTTAAATATTTGTTTACTTGTTGTTAAATGGAAAAGTTTATTTGATGTTCATATTGCTGTATTCATTTGGAAATAATCAATTATTGGCTGAAGCTGGAATAGATTACTGTAGGCTCTAACAGCTATGTTGACTTCTAAAAAACTCAAAATAAGCTTTTATGGTAATTAATAGACCAAATTAAAATGTTGATATCTAATATTTCTTTGATATTTTATGCCTGTTTCTTTTATTAACTTCTGAAAAAAAAGAAGGGGGTTTGAACCCCCCCCCCTAAATCTATGTCTACTTATTCAACATTAAATAATACAGTTTTTAATTTTTGAAAAAAAAATAGGTTGAATGGGTGGGGTGGGAGTTTTGACCTCTCCTCTAACTCTGAACCTGCTTATAACGTTAAGTAATATAATTATTAATTTCTGAAAAAAGTATCCCCCAGTGGCATAGCGGTATGTCTGTGGACTTACACTGCTAGAAACCGGGTTTCGATACTTGTGGTGGGCAGATACTTAAAAATACTGTGGATAACTACAAACAAACAAATTCTGAAAAAGTGTGTATGGGTTTACCTCCCTGGACCCCTCCACTAGATCTGCTCCTGCTTATACAATATTAAAGTATATAGTTATGCAATTATGAATTAGAAACATGACACTGTGTAAGAAAACAATAAATTTACACTATTTAGTACTTAAATAACAAGAGAGTTGGTGGTGGGTGCTACCAACCAGTTTTCTTCCCTCAAACCAGTTTTTCAAAATTAGTGACAGTGTCAAATAGCCATAGTAGCTTTGCAATAAGAAAGATAGGATGTCTAAATTTAGTGGCAATGGTAATCAAACTGGAGGCCCTCAAGTCACGAAGCATCTTCCCAACTGCTCATTATGTAACTAAACAACAAACAAACTAATGGCAATATTTTGATTCCTTGGATCTTCAGAATAGTAAAAAATAGTTAATAATCAAAAACACTAAATTTGATTGGTAACTATTTTTGTGACAGCCAATCATAATTTTGATTAATTAATTGCTGGAATAATCAAAAATGGTAACATTTAGAAACACTAATTTTAGTTGATTATTTTTGTGACAATAATCATTCATTTGTAATTTTGATTAATTGATCAGTTTATGGGATACTAATGAATGTAATTGCTGCTTATAAGTAAACAGTTATGTTGATTAATCAGTTAAGTCACTCAGCTCTATTTGCCATACCTTCATTTTTCTTGACATTTGCTGCTGTAGACGACCAAACACTTCTGAAGGTTATATCACTCTGTCGTGTAGCATTTACTGTATTTCAGTGCTTGTGACCTCCCTGTATGATGATGATTCACCTTGTTTTACCGAATCAGTTATCTGGTCACACAACTACATCAAAATATGCACACAACTTCTTTGCATAAAGCAGGTAACATTGTTGTTTAAGACCTGTACCAAGGTGACATTGCTCATGTTGGTATCCAGTGGATTATTGAAAAGTAAAAGAAATTAGTTCTGTGCTTGAATAATTCATCATTATATTCAGCTGTTTGGCAACTCTTCAATATTAATGAACTATATTTCACTACAAACTGTTGATGATAAATAACCTGTCAAATTCAACTCTGTATAGAAGCAAGTAAGTCAGATATTATGATTGCTTGTGGTAACTTATATCTAACAGCTAATTACTGCTTTTTTAACCATTCAAGTGCTTGCTTTGATAGTTGATCAAAATATCAAAGACATTTATATGAGAAGTTTGATACATTTTGTGCCAATCTTTTATTATACACAGAATATTTATAGAAAATAACTGATTTGTAATTGTTATCAGAGATTGTAAAACTGTTATAAAAAGGTGTACTTGTGAACAATATACAGCATCAAACATGTGTACATAATGTATCCAATTTGATAATCATAGAGTTAATGTTATGTAAAATAATGGTGGTAGATGCACTATTTCAAGCAACTTCTTGTTGTGGATGTGAATTATGTGTAATTAATAACTCTAAAGAGTTGTTAATGTAATATGAATAAATTAGAAATATATATTAGAACTGTGAAAATTACTAAAACATCAAAGATATTTATGAGTAATATTATGAACATTTTGTGTCCATCTTTTTGTTTTATACACAGAACTTTTCAAAAAATAACTGATTTATAATTGTTATTGAATATTGTAAAATTATTTGTTATTAACCCTACATGCTATTGAGTGGAGGTCCAAGTGCACATTTCACAGCCTTTTATAGAGTTCCATTCAATGTGATATTTTGTATTTGATATAAGAGTTATCAATTATTCTTACATTTCTGATTTTGCAACATTTTGTCGTAAAGGAGAGTAAGTACCAGGTACAATATACAGGGATACTAAAAAAACTGTAGATACACATTTCAGAGGTCCTAGAGATTATGGAATTTGCAAACTGTATGATGGACAGAAGTATTTCTGTTCTTCACATGAACATCAGCTTTCACTCTGACTTCTCAAAGTCTAAGCCACTCTGATGCCATCAATTATACATCTTGAGTACAAACACTTTTTTAACATGTCTGATCTTTAGTATACAACAGACTTGTACTTTTAAAATGATACACTTATAAACAAGATACAGTATTAAATGTGTGTGCATCATGTATCCATTTTGGTAATGATATTGTTGTGGATATGAGTTCTGTGTAATTAAGAGATGAAAGGTTATTAATGTATTTTAAAATACAGGACCATGAAAATAACTTTTTTTAGCTGTTTTATAACTACTTTTTAAGATGTACTTGTTTTTCTTAATATCCCTACTCTTTACTTGTTGGTGAAAACTACACAACCTTCAAAATTTCCCTCACATGACAATTTGGCATGATTAGTCTGTGCCATTGCTATAGATAATCTTAGTCCAATAAACTTGAGCCACTTTGTTTTGCATGTGAGCTGAAACCCCATCTTCACATTTATTATATTAACTTTTCATTGCTGTGCTAAATCCTCGAGCTGTGATATTCTTAATAACTTTGGTTGTTTTTTTTACACAGAATTGGACATTTACCGTCATTAGTTAAGATGGCCTTTATTTTTGCAGGACTGAAGAAGAGTTTCAACAGCTGTCTCAAGAAGAATTGTATCTTATAGAAAACTGTCTTCGCAAAAATCCTAAATCTTATGGAGCATGGAACCAACGTGAATGGATACTCATGTTCATGCCAACTCCTGATTGGGAAAGGGAGCTTCAGCTGTGCAATCGGTTCTTAGATTTAGATGAAAGAAACTGTAAGTAAAGTTTGAAAAAAATATTTTTTTGAAACCTGGAACTTGATTTTTTAGTTTAATACATAATTATTATAGAATAGGTTTTGCATAATTTATTAACTGGATTGATTTTCAAAATTTAGTCAGTGCTAAAATTCAATATTTCTTTGACTATTTTGAAGTTGTATATAAAAACCAATTGAGAAAATACATTTCCTGAACTTCTTATCTCAGGAGAATGTTAAGATAGAATAGAAACTGTTTTCTATTATATCTCCATCTTGATTGGGTGCATTGATTTGACACGGGTTGTGTTTGTTTGTTTTATAGCAATGCAAAACAAAATTACTAGATGAAATAGTTTGAAATATCAGAAGAACTTTTTAGAGATTATGTAACCTTATGTAAATAAAATATCCTATTTTTAGATGTGATTTTTTTATGATTTTGCAGTTTTGAAAATTCAAAACATTTCCTTGTATTTTTTTAAAGAAAAAATGTTTATAGTTGTTATAGATTCTTATATCTTCCTACCTTCTCATAAAACTTTCTTGTAAGGTCTTTATCTTTGTTTTGATCTGAAAAACACCTCACACACTCCAATTGTTTTATGATCACTGGTATATGGTAAAATAACTTTTTACTATACCAAAATTATGAGCTAGACATATTTTATGGATTGTTGATTAAAAGATTTTATTTAGGTCAATAAAACCTAATGTAAACTAGGCCTATCACAGCAGACTTGTACGTGAAACTGTTGCAATATAGAATGATCTTGCCTCCAACCTGTAAGATTTTGATTGTTATATATGCAACAACAAATTAAAAAATGGTTTGGTAATTAAGAATGTATTTGACAAATTTATGCTCATCTATGAAATGTGGCATGTGAGAACTTAATAGCTGTTAGGCTAATGTATATATTAAATAACCACAAAATATTATCATCAATGTACAATGCAATGAAATGATTAAAATTAGGAAATAGAGAAAGTACAAACTTTTAATTTTGTAGAATATCCAAGAAGAAAATTTTCAGTTAATTATACATTTTAAAATATAAATAATCCATAATTAACTAAAATATAAATGTAAAACTTTAATACAATTTAACTGTATCTCTAACTATAACATATTTAGGTAAAAAAACAACCAAAAGTGATATAGTTGAGCAGCCAACAATATTACAGGCAGTTACATGTACCCCGTGACGAAAACTGCATGCCAGTTTCAAAATAACAGTTGTTGGATTATAGTGTAAAAAGAGCTCTTTCTAATGACTATACATGCATATGTAACCTCTACATGTATGCTATAAAGTTCAAACAAATTTATTGAAGGTGATTGTGGCACCAGTCAGAGGTTGAGAAAATTTGTCATTTGTTACAACTGCATTCATCCAGAGAACTTTGAAATGTATGTGTCAACAGGATATGTAAATGTTTTATTGTCTAGGTTTACATCTATACAACTGGCATTATATCATTGCAAATATAGAGTGCTAAAGTAAAGAAATTTCATAGTTTGTGTGTCACGTGACAATACACATGAAGTT